TTCTATATCTAAGCTTCTAATATTATTTCTGGTGCAAAATGTATTAAAAACTATTTTACTATTTATGAGTAAAAGTTTAACAAATCCATGTAATGTTTACCGTTTTTTTGTCGGTTCATCTTCTTCCACTTCGTCTGCTGCAAACATATCAGTTTAAATCGTAAAGATACAAGAAAAGACATGAATAAAAGTAATAAAATTGTTATAACGTTTCAGCTTCAGTGGTATTCAGTACAGTACAACACATACATTTGAAATGGAGCCACCCAGGGAAGGAATAAGGTCATGCAATAAATCAGCGCAATGTTCTTTTAGCTGGCACTAACACTCTGCTTCCTGTGTACACCTGCAGCCAGTGAAAAGTATTTTAGAAAATAATAAAAAACAAATGGAGGCAAGGAAACAGTCTACTGTTTCAATCTAACAATAAATACACCTAACTTTAACAAGAAGATTATAGAAAAACTTAACAGAAATATCTCAGCGACACTTTAGAATCGATCGCAATACGAGCAATCACAATTTCCAAAAACACACAATTATATAAGGTGTATGCACCTACACAGACGCAGCTCACACACACTAACACTTCGAGTTCATTCACACAAGACCTTGACATGATTACGTTCAATGAAATTTAGTGAGCGTTGCGCACACGCATGTACACACACACATACACTAATGCGCACTAACACACGTACGACACGTGGCGAGATGCACTCAATCTGTTATGTAATTCCTTTGACATAATAGATTATTTATATTTCAGTTCAGTTTCAGTCGGTTTCAGCACAGCGCAGTTCTTTCAGGAAAATCTTAAACAAAGAAAATTTTTCCAGTCAAATCTACTGAAGTGTTCAACTATTTCATCTAGGTAGGGTAGGTAATCCTAGAATTATTCCAGTAAATAAGAGCACTGTGAAATAAAAGCAGTGAATAGTATATTATTTGCTACCTACCCACGGCAAATCATAACTAAGTATTGTTTAAGTGGCTCCTTAAGAAACCACATCTTAAAAGCGTACTTATAATGTGTTTATGACTTGAGTAAATCTAAAAACAATACATAACAAAGGGCTTATGTACAATCACGGAGTCATTGACTGTCGGTACGTGTGTGTCGCTCATTCTCGATAATTGCTAAAGCTATTTTCATGCAACTCTCTTGTTAGCACGGTTGCATTTATAATGAATAAATAATGTTTGTTGGACGTCTTAGAGTTAAATATAAAATGTACATAAGGCATTGTGTCTATGTACATATAGATAGATGCATATCAACCTTTACATTCCCAGTATAATTTGACCGTCGATTGTGTGGACAGATCATACAAAGTTAGACCATCATAAATTGGTTTAGTACAACTGGATGTGGACGTAGCATGAAGAGAGCGAGTGTTCTTTACAAATGCAACTCCACGAGATTTATATGAATAACTTTGTATTGAACTAATGCTATTCAATTTATGTAGTTATGTTATTCAACTATTCAACGTTTGAATATTATGCAGAATAGGTTCAATTTTAAATTTGATGGTGAAAGATATAAGTATTAAACAGTACTTTTATAGATTTTGTATAAAAGTACCGTTTGAAAACCGATGATAGAACAACTAAACTACCAAATTCTCAAATCCCTTATCTTCAAAACACCAGCAACGCATTTGCAACTCCTTTATTGTTCCGGGTATCCATGGGCGGCGCCGATTGCTTACCATCAGGCGATCCGTCTGATCGTTTGCCCATACAAAATAAGAATATTACATAAAAACTAGAAGGAACTACGTGCTTGCTTGAACAACTTCTCAAACAGAAGGTCGGAAACTACAGGATAAAAAACTATTTCTAATATTATATTCAAGCGCTGAATATAGATTGGAACACAATACAACCTTACACACAGATCTGTAGCCTTCAGACATCAGGAAAATAGACAGGAAAGGTTGACAGATATACAAAGGAAATCGCACTCATTCTCACTTGAGTATCGAGAGATCACTGATTATATAATATGTATGTATATATTCATGAATGCTGAACTGACAAAATTTTTATTTGGTGATATGGGATGGGCTGCTAAGCGAGCAGACAGGTCACCTGAGGGTAAGCAATCGACACTGTCCATGAACCCCCCAAATCCATCCAATCTGAGGAGTTACAGTTGCAAAGTGCGTTGCCGGTCTTTTGGGATGGTTTTTTTTTTAAGGGGGAAAATCATCGAATGATTGCTCCCGCCTGGGTGAGGCGGGAGGGAGTGTCAGACTCTAACTGACTAAAAACCATCCCGTTCCTTCTCCTGCACGTCGAGCCGAAGCCCCGGTTACCCGTTAGGTTCTCCGAGGGTATTGATTAGGTATTTGGCGATTGGTGAGGAGAAGAATTGGGCCTCCGATGCAATAATCGGATATTATCTATGTAGAGACGATGTGTTAATACACTTAGATGTGTCAATACACATCTTCTCTACATAGATAAGAATGAAAAAGTCTATAGAAGACTCGACGGTACCTTTTTGGAGTAGATCAAAATATGAACCAGAACTTGTTGATATACGTTTCAGAATTACTATGATTAAAAATAAGTTTGAAGTGCCCGCTATCCTGGAAATCAGGGAGGTAGTGTTTAAATAACTATACTCGTTGTAACATAAACTATGAACAGCAACTGTTAGTATAAATCACGAAGTTACCGACAATATTTAATATATAAGTTGGCTGGTTACTATTTTCCAATAGTACATACGTAATGTATTACATACAAACAATGTATGTTTTGACAGAAAATAATATATTGGATAGATATACGTACGCAGTTAATGTGTTTAGATTGTCCAACTATTTTTGTATGGCCCCTAATCTCCTGATTCCGTAAAGCGGTTACCACATTGCCCGGAGATTTTTACGCACTTATTGATGAACTAAAATAACATCGAGTGAACAACATATGCGAAATATTATGGGAGAATAGAAAAAGTTGTAAGAGCCATGCTTCGGCGCGAATGGGCCGGCTTGACCGGAGTGATACCACGGACTCACAGAAAACCGACGTGAAACCACGCGATTTTCGCCGAGTTAGTGATGTTATTGGAGCTCCAATTAAGTACTTGTCGACTTCTATCCCCAATCCCCAAAATCCTGAATCCTTTATTCCGTACTAATCCCCAAAAGGCCGGTTACGCGCTTCTCACTTCTTTGGGGTTGTGGGTGTCCATGAAGGGTGCGGATTGCTTACCATCAGGTGATCCGTTTGCTCGTTTGCCGACCTAACAATAGTAAGTTTGACACGTGGATACACTCGTACCTATGTGTATGTGTATACTTAGTATATTAGCATAATGATTACCAACAGACAGATTACATAGTGGTGTGTGTATCCTGTCATAAATCTAGATAATCTGATGGATAGTTAGTCTTAAATGACTTAAAAAAGTAATCTCGTGTTATTGGCCAGCTTAAGAGTTGTTACCTTGAAAAATGTTATTCATTTTGTAGTTATGTTTATGTCTTCCATCCATATTCGTTTTGTGAACAAAGAAGAGAAATGTATCCTCGTTCATTTTGTGAGTAAGAAGAATTAGTGAACACAGTAATGTTGGCGGCGCACTTATCAAGACAAATCTCAAAAATGTAGTCTCCTTAGAGAATTATTAAAAAAGCCACTGAAACTGCAACATTGAAGAATTCGTATGAGATTAACATTGTGATCCCACGCATTCATTTTCCAAAGTGCGCCTAGAGTAACCGACTATTTAAATTAATTCAAACCATGCCTACCTAATTATCTAAACGTTTCTTATACTCAGCACTCGAGGAATCTGTATTTAGACTGTCTGAGATTTACAGTCTAGGCATATTTTGCTAGATCTAGATTTTTTCTTTTTTTTTTTCAGTGATTTAATGTTATGCGTATTAGCAATGAGTTCAGTGTTGAAACATTTGTTGTGTCGCGCCAATATGCGGGGTCGTTGACACACGAATTACTGATACAACACAAATATAATGTACCCATAATTTCTTATGAGTAATGTTTGCTCAGAAATGTATTTCGAATTCAAAATGTTAATTAGTTCATTAGTCCTGTTATGAACAAAACACATTTTATTAAAATTAATTAATTGAAATTACAGAAACTGCAGTAGGTAATGATGTAATTGGCATGTTTCCTTATAAATACGGCAACTGTAAAATTACAATATTTTCATTATTAGTTTTTTGAATATAATTGTGAGAATTCCCCACTCTTTCTGGTCAGTTTATGACAAACATTAATATATTAATGGATATTAAAACAATGGTGTCACCGATTTACAATTTCACAACATGAAAATTTTACAATTTTCCTTCCCCTTTTCCGCAACGATAAAGCAATTGGGTAGTTTCCAGGGTATCAAAATTAAAAATCTAATTAGTCCGTCAGTTAGATAATGAAAAAATATTAGACACGTATTTTTTTGTTTTCTCGTATTAATTTACAATACATAGATAAAATGGCGCTAAGTTTAGGAAGTCCTTACGTCATAACGTGCTACAAAATGTGCCACGCTGTGACGTCTCACGATATTTCAAAATTCAAAAGTCAAAAAGTCAAAAGTCAAAGCATTTATTTCAATTAATTAATTTAATTTGGTACTTTTGAAACGTCAACAAATACAAAATAAATAATAGTCTGTCAGTCAAGCCGTCAGTGAAGCTAGGTGAAGCTAGGTGCTCATTCCAAAATGTAAATTCGAATGGAGAAGAACGAGCAAGAAACTCCAACCGATACTCTTTTTAAAAAAAAGTATGTATGTATGTATTTCAAATTAATATATCGTCGAAAGTATTTAATTTTGTAAGAAAAGAAAATATACGTGTCTAAAGTTTCAAATTAATGTACCCGACGGACATTAAAATAAAATTTAGGAAACTACCCTATTACGGCTCATCGGTGAGCTCAGTAACACTGGTATCGGATGTTCCATAGACGGAGTCAGTATAAATAACATAAGCTACGCCGATGATATGGTGTTACTGAGCCCATCGATTGCAGCGTTACGGAAATTGATGTGCATCTGCCAATCATACGCGGAAGCCCATGGTCTCAGATACAACGCGAATAAGAGTGAGTTCATGGTGTTCAAGTCACGTGGTAAATGCTACTCCCATGTTCCTCATGTAACTCTGTGCGGCATGCGTCTGAAAAAGGTTAGTGCCTTTAAGTATCTGGGTCACTGGGTGACTGAAGACTTGTGTGACAATGAGGACATCGAGAGGGAACGCAGGGCTCTGTCCATCCGGTGCAATATGTTGGCTCGCAGGTTTGCACGTTGTACTACTCAAGTAAAGATAACATTATTCAAGGCGTACTGCCACAAGCTACCACAAGCTGCACGTGTAAAAGGTCTGGACCTTTTACACGTGCAGCTTGTGGACTAATTTTGCGCTGCGGGTGTACAGTGCACTGCGAGTGCAGTATAACAATGCGTTTAGGATATTATTGGGGCTGCCACGTTTTTGTAGTGCTTCCGCTATGTTTGCTGAGGCGCAAACTGATGATTTTTTCGCCATAATCAGGAAAAGGTGCGCCTCGCTGTTAAGGCGTGTGCGTGGCAGCCCGAATGGTATTCTGAGCACATTGTCCCAGCGGTGGGACTCACCAATGTTGATGAGGTGGATGCGATTGCACGCGAGCGGTCCCTCATATTTATAATTGACATAACTATATTATTTACTTGTATTATTATCTATTGACTAGTATTTTTATTGACTTATATTATTATTGACTTATATTGGGATTGTATTGACTATTTATAATTGAAACTGACTACTTATAATTAATTGACTATTTACAATTGAAATGGACTATTGACTATGTATGTTCTTTGTGTGTTTGTGTAATTTATTATTTTGATTATTTGATGTATGAACGAATTGATTATTATTTTTATTATTTTTAATTTATTATGATACTTGCTATAGAGACAATTTTTTAATTTTTAATTTATTTATAAAATTTTTGAACCTGAATTCGTTTTAAATGTAATTTTATGGATTTTATTATCTGAAATAAATTGGTATTATTATTATTATTATTATTATAGACGTTTTTCAAATTTTTTGCAGAGAAACATCAAATTGTAATTCTTTGTTCAGTTGATCCACCGCACTAAAATGAGAAGGTTATGTATCTATTTTTTATTATATTCATGTATATGTGCCTGGTTTGGTGGTACCCTGGTTATTGTATAGCACGAAATTGCAGTCAGTTGGTTTAGAAGGTGCAATCACACCTAGTGCAGCATAATGTCGCGGAGAACCTAACAGGTTACCGGGGTTCCGGCTCAACGTGCAGGGGAAGGAACGGGGTGGTTTTTAGTCAGTAAGAGTCTGACACTCCCTCCCGCCTCACCCAGGCGGGAGCAGTCATTCGATGATTTTCCCCTCTTAAAAAAAAGTGCAGCATAATATAGAACTACACATGAATACCTATTTTAAATGTGTACATACTTTAGATATTAATACAGCTTAAGCGTCCGTTGAAACTTACCTAAAAAGCAATTGAACAACAAAATGACGTATTTTTCCAAATTCCCGTAACATTTAGTCGCTAACATTTTATTTATTACTAAATCATGGACTGGTTTAAACAGCCACAAAAGGATTAACAGTTTGTTATAAAACTGCAATTTATCAAGCAAATAACGACCAGTAGCCACGAGGCACAAGCTTGGGATCATGCCAAACATGGATTTAGGTATTATTTCAGTAATTGTAAGTTTGAAACTAAACCCGCTTGGATAGCTGACAACTGTATTAATATATATGAACATGAGTAAGTGTTAGAAGATATAAAAATGACCTCTGAGTTTGTTTCGGTGTTTCTTCTCAGAGTGGGTACTCTCAGTCAGTCAGGAAATGTTGACCCTCATCTAGTAATTTAAAGAGTGACTTGTAAAAGAGTTAGTTTGTAACCTATTGGAAGAAATAAATATTACTTCATCATTTCATTTCAAAAACATAAAACTGACAAAAGCTACACTGCTGGCGTAATGGCTGGGCGCAGCCAGCTGCTATGTGATGTTTTAAAAGTTCAATAGTTTTCATCAGGAACAATGCTTTGTAAGGATGATGTTGCCACGGGACTAGGTCCTCTATCATTGTGAAAATTTGTTTAATAAAAATATACTTACTTTTTGGTTTACATTCAGTCAAAAAAGTATCGGGAATGGATGATTTGTTTATGCTTCCAAACTCAAATTGTTTTCCATTTTGGCGCGGAATTTGAGTTGCATCTGTTATTTATATTAAATACAGTGCTGGTCATAGTAATATCATATACATATCTCTCTATCATCGATCTTATTGTTTTGTAGTACAGCATCATTTCCTTCAACCTTTAAGCTAAATTAACCAAATATCTTTGAAACATATTCAGTTCTATACGAAAGAGATAAAGTTGAAAATCACTCACAGAAAGAAAGAATAGGTTAGCCCTATATGCAGCTGTCATCCTAGGCCCTAGGTATCTTGACAATGACATTGAATGACTATCAGAGATTGTTATCAGGACATATAAGTTTATGTTATTAGTGACTAAGTGTCACTTATCTAACCCATTAGCGTCTGCGCAAATATAGGCCAGCCCATCGATACCCACAATCTTACACGTGGAACATTTTAAACCCAACAATGTTGACATACAACACATGTTTACCGGGTAAATAGGCGGCGTCCTTGTGTCTGCCAGCCTGACACCGGCCGCATGTAAACCACGAAGTATATATGACAGCACCTCAACGTATACTAAACTTTAATTTATTATTAATTGATTTTCAACTTTAGTTTAATACGATAAGGTTGATATTTAATTGTGGAGGTCGTCATTTTAGGGTAGGTTCATGTGCGTTAGTGTATATATTGCGTTACCTATTGACACAATGTATTTATATGTTAGTTTAAAAATATACAATAATAATATATCTATTGAAAAACATCGCGATGCCATTTTTTATATTTGTAAATATTCGACACATGTGCTTAATATTTTTTTGTAGTGGTAATGATATTTCATTATTGACATTCGCTCGTTATTATCTGTGGACAGCTGAAATATTGCCGTGTATGTATTATTAGCTTTTTTAATAGTTGAGTAAAGTGTTGCAAAACATGTTTTTGTTAGGTATCGTGGTGTTGCCATGCAGCGGTAGCTTGAGACATAGCAGATGATTTGGAGTCTTATTCTTTTATTTATAAAAAATATTTGATGGTATTAAATGCTTAAACAATATTGCATTTTATTGAAAAGGTCTATGCATTATTGTTTTTTATTTTCAGGTTTAAATGAAAGTTCACTTGTTTAATGTAGGTATCACTTTTCACTACATTTGTTATGAGTCCCATAAAAGAGTTTGAGCCTAGGGTCAATTAAATAATACGATTACTATTGGTTTCATGTAAATGGAAGAGATTTTTCAATCAACAATTATATTGCACTGAAAGTGTCATTAAATAACTTATATTTTCTTACACACAATTCTCAGCTTTTACTCATCATTTTGCAGAGTTTAGTCCTGCTGACCACCCTTACCTATCTAAATCAGTGTGACCCACTGAGCTAACGATACCCATTAAGGTCCCTGATAAGACATGTAGCATGTATGTACCTCGTAGGTAACTCATTACCCTCAATAATTAGCCGATTGCAACGGTTAACTGTGTATTAATGTATTCTATATTACCTATTGATAATTATGTAGGTAGATAACACATGACGTGATGTACGCAATGTATTCAAATACAACAATATTTTGTCAGAATGTTGGGTTAAAAAGTATTTAATCTATAAAAAGTAAACTTGTAAATAAATTTTGTAAGTGTACAACAACATAACAAAACAAAAATAGTCACAAATCCCTTCCCATTACTGAAGTATTATTTATACCTCTAAATAATTAGGGCAGTGTGCCCTACCTGTGCCCTGTGTGACCCTTGTAGGGCACAATCCCACCAATCCCGCCATGTTCCAGGAAGTGTGAACTTTGACACAGATGGCGACACGTTCACATTTCAGCAACAACCACAGATAAGTTATCGAGCTACATTCGCGAATATTACCGGGTAACGAGACCACGCAGGTTTGTGGGGTTCCGTACTATTTATCATACTTATTAATACCACGTTTTTCTTCAATTTGAAACAAGTAAACAGATTCTGGAAAGGTTTGGCAGCCAGACATATTTTTGTTGTTTTGACTGTCGAAAGTAGCTTTGCACTTGATTGACCTTAGAAGAAGAAAGAATCTGAGTGTCGTACCCAGAGACATTGAATGTTTACTTAAACTATTCCTAATTGTAACGATTTTAAAAATCTCAGTAGTAGCACGGAGCCTGGAAATGTGCCCGGTATATGGCAATAGGCTCACCCCCTATTACATGGGACTCATAACATAAATAGTAAAAAGTGGGTACTACATTGTTAAGTCGCATAATGCGCACCTCTGCCTACCCCTTCGGGGATAAAAAGGCGTGATGTTATGTTATATAACGATTTTGTACCGAACAGAATTACTATGGACTGAGTTCAGTAACTATTAAATGAGTACGGCAATAAGTCTTACGTCTAAACTATATAACCTAACGGGGGGCTCCGGCTCGAAGGGCAAGAGTAGGAACGCGGTGGTTTTTAGTCAGTAAGAGTCTGACATTCCCTCCCGCCCCACCCAGGCGAGAGCAGTCATTCGATGATTTTCTCCACTCCACTTAAAAAAAAAACTATAGGTAATATACATAGACTCAAAGCGACACATAGTATATAACAAGAGAGTGTCAGTCAGACCTACCGACTAAACACCACCTTGACGTCGAAACTCTGGTAACCCTTTAGGTTTTTTTGCAGTTCCGGATAATAATCCTTGCAAGGTTCTTTTGCTTGCTTTGCTAGTTTAATACATCTGGTCATGGTGTCCTCCTAGAGTTTCTAGGACCTATTATAAATAGTATGCTACATTTTATGAAACCAAAAATTACCCAGTATTTCTGGACGATAAGAGAAAAAATAAAAGTTTAAGTACTTAACAGATGAATGATTTTCCTCTTGGCAACAGATCAACGTTACTTTTGAATAGAAATATTTATTTTAGTCTCTACGGGATAAATCCATCTTTTTGTTTCTTTCCTTTAAATGATTTATTTTGTGTATGGTATCTAAAATATTAACTTGACATTTGAAGCACTGGTGGGTTATTATGAATTCTGTTTTTATTACCTCTATTAATCATGGGTTATGTTCAATATAATAATATCTATTATCATCATCGATTATTCTAAAACAACATAAAACAATCGATACATTTCAGCTCCAAACATACTTAACTATTGTTACTCTTTGGAAAAAAGAAACACAACTACAAGATTCCTTGGAGACCTAAGCAACAGCCA